TCCAGCATGTGACAAAGATTTTCCAGATACCGAAGACCATCACCTGGAAGGTTTAGGGCGTCCTGATCCTAAAATTGATAAAAAGCAATGTCAATGTATGAGGAATCTACTTGAATGGGCAGCGCAGTGGATTTCGTGGTTAACATTTCTGCCACGCAGCACTAAGATTCTTAGTTCAATTCTCAACCAGGATGCTATCTGCATGGAGTTTGCAAGTTTTCAGTATGCTTCTGTGTTTTTTTTTTTTCAGTACCTTACCAAACTCCAAAGACATACTGATAGGTAAACTGACTCTAGTAATTACATGTGATATAGAAACCTTAGATTGTAAGCTCCCTGAGGGCAGAGACTAATGTGAACTTACACTATGCAAAGTGCTGTGTAAATTGTCAATGCTATATAAATACTTCTGCTTACCATACAGTTCACTAGAGAGTATATTGTATATATGCCAATCTCTTTTGTTTACTCTATCATGTGCTTGGTTTTAACTGTAGCATAACCCACTGTGCAATTCAGAATAACAGTGGAGTTGCATAGTTATAGTAGCTTCACCATCATATGTGCATTTTTTTTTATTTTTTTTTTTTTACTAGGGGGTTAAGGAGTAGAGGACAGATTTTCAATAAAATTCAGACAGCATTAAAAGCATGTGTGATGTATGAAGGTGTCATTCATTTTACATACCTCACTTTCTAGAGTGTAGCGAACTGGGCTTCTTGCTTCATAGCCAACAGATTTCCCTCTACGCTGTTCTTTTAGTGAGCCCGGATACTGCCTGATACATCTTGCTGCTCTATTTTGAATGGCCTCCCCCGGCTACTGCTCCTCTGCTTCCTGCTTCGGAGGATTGCCTGTTCCAGTTTATGGGGCACACTTGAAACATCGTTATTAGGCTGTTTGTTGATACAATATTCCATTGTGTGTACATCCCTAGGTGAATGCATATCAAAGCTCCTGGGACTTTCTGAAGAAGGGTGTTCCACTGCAGCTGTTTCTTGAGAATGTTGAAAATTATCTGGTTGTTCTAAGGGAGGGCTTTTCAGGTTCTGAGACTCCTCAGGGGTGGCATTTTCCAAACTCTCAGGATCCTCAGACGTGGAGCTCTCTACACTTCCACATTCATCTGGATTATAGCTGCTTTCAGATCCATATGGGGAATTTGGTGGCAGCTCCACACCCGAATCTTCTGACTCCGATTTCTCTAAACGATTACGTGTCAAAGTATATCCACCATTTCCCCCTTGATTAGCTGAGGATTTGGGATAGAGAGGACCTCTAGAGATGCTGCAACTGGAAGAAGGATCCATGAGACGCCGATAAACAGCAGTACTTCCCAACAGTACACAACCCTCTGATCGTTCTGTAATCGTGAAAGAAAAACAGTGTGTTAAAAAACCTTGTGCCACGTACATAATGAAATAAACTAGATCATTTGACAGAGGATTCAGCAACAGATTGGAAAGTGTTAAAGTGGTCTTATCAGATAACGGTCATATTGCCAGTTTTAGCATCACAGCCCAAGTTTTTTTTTCTTCCATTGTCCACATACCTCTTTAAACACTAATAAAAATTAAGTATGGTCTTGCTGTTGCAACTAATGACAAATATATGTTTGATAGTGCTTTCTAAATGCATCTTGCTGCAATCTGTGTATTTGTTAATGATTTTTAGAATTTAATATTAACTCACAAAGACAATGATGAGTATGAATCCTCGCAAACTCAAATCTACTGACCATTTTCTACTGAATCCCTGCAATATTGAGCAGTTTAGATCCTTCATTGTTGGCAACCATAAGACTAAAATGGGCTAACAGCCTTCTACAGTGCTACTGTTGTGTACTGCAGTCTTTCTCAACCTTTTTAATTCAGAAGAACCCCTGCGAAAATGATTATACCTATAGATCATGGTACATAACATGATCAGTAAGTTGCAGAAATAATTAGACATCAAAAGAATAAAGAATTTGAGGTATGTAGTGTAATTGATGCTCAAGGTGGATCATTTCCAATAACCCCATGTTTTATACAGTATATTCATGAAGTTGAAATGAACCAAATAGAATGATAATAGGAAAAGCAGACAATGATATTTGTAATGTCCCATCATGTTAGTGGTCATTGGAGAAGCCCTCTCCCCTTTACATTGGTGGTCAGTAGAAATGTGCCCCAATGATCAGGAGAGAAAGAAAACCCCTTACATTAGTGTTCAGCAGAGAAGGGTCTCTTACATTTATGGCAGTGGGACAAGAGACCACTCACATTGGTAAATAGCTGGATGAAGAATGTCCTTTACATTTCTATTTAGTCAAGAAACCTCTGGAGGAACTATAGGGGTGCATGGAACCCTAACTGAAAAAGAATGATGTACAGTATGGAACTCCATTATTCAAGTGTCTTGTGTTAAGTCAATATGATTCTCAATGACGCAATACTCTTAATCATTAGACATTGACAGTTCCATATTTAGATTTGACTGGACACATCATTTCAGTATGCTGTTGGAATCCCAAGCAGTATGAGTACCGGATTAATGATTATGGAGAGGAAAAAGAATTACAAATGTGTTTGTTAATTACTGATATCAAATTCCTGGCATAGCTGGCCATAGATATTAGAAGGTGGAGGAAGACATTTGGCTTCCCAGCTATTTCTGCCTTCTCCAATACTCAAACAGAAATGCATGTTTAAATTTGTAGGCCTATTTCCAGCTGTTGGGTGTGCTACTGCTATACATGTACAAGTGTATTTCCAGAAGATCCTGTGACCCACAAGCTGTCATGACAACACACTGTCCATACAGTACGCAAAAAAAAAAAAATTCAGCCTATTTTAGCAAATAGCTATTTCCACCCAAAAAGGGCCCATTCACACTTGTGCGCTGTGGCAATGCACACTAAAACACGTGTTAATGCACACTGAACCTATGTGTGGAAATGCAGCTGCTCTATTTGTGGTGCCATTTATTGTGAATGGAGACCCAATGCATTGTACAGTACAACGCAGTGCACCACAATCCATATAGCATAAAAAAGGGTCATGTATGGTTTTTTAAATCCATTCTGGTGCATTGGCTTCCTATTCAAAATGAATGGGCTGCATTAATGCAATGCCTATTAAAGCATACCATAGCCTACAATATTATAAAGATATTGCACACCAGATCAAAATCCACTCATATATGGGGTACTGAAACAACCTGTAGAAGGTGGCATGCAGCAATACAGAAGAATAAATGTCACCACCGCACCTCGTCTTGAAATAACAAGCATTAATGTGTATGAAATAACGCATCGCAACAGGGCGCATAAGTGTGAATAAGCTGTGGACAATATTGCCTGGGGCCCCCAGACAAAATGAATCTCTGGATTTATGGATTTATATATTATGCATCATCAATGTGAATATAATCACTTTATTAACATAATCATTTCATCTATTTGAAATACAGTGTGCTGTATATGAAATGTATCATGGGCTCACCCTGTATGTGTACATATATATACATACAGTATATATTTATTTCATGTACTTGTATAGTACATTCATATCAGTCCCTATTGTACATTCACATCAGTCCCTAACCCTCAAGGGGTGTACAATCTAAAGGTCCCTAACTTACATTCATACATACACATACTAGGGCCAATTTAGACAGGATCCAGTTAACCTACCATCATGTCTTTGGAGTGTAGGAGGAAACTGGAGTACCTGAAGGAAACCCATGCAAGCACAGGGAGAACATGCAAACTCCATGCAGGAGGCGCCATGGTTGGGAATCAAACCCATGACCCATTTTACTGCAAGGCAGACATGCTAACCACTAAGCCACTGTGCCACCCCATATATATATCTACCTCATGGGGTCACTCTGTATGTGTGTGTACATATATATAGATATATATTATCATGGGGTCCTTTGTGTATATATATATATATATATATATATATACACACATACATATATGTATTTGACATATATATATTTATATATATATATATATATATATATATATATATATATATATATATACACAATATAAAATATATATAAAATTATAGATCTAACTATACTCTCATTCATTGTGCAGTCGACTAAAATTGGCTAGCAAATCCCAACAATCCTGGGCAATCTTCTGCTATTTCTGCTATTCCTGGCCAGATGATCAGTCGCTTTTACAGCACTCAGATATATCTTTCCTGTCCAATTACTTCCCATCACATAAAATCGTGGAAAGATGGAATTGTGTGTGACAACCTGCAGCTGCCCATTCAAGAGATGGGAAAATCATCCCTACTACCACTACCGGCGATGTGACCGATTGCTGACTGTGCGATCAATCATTGCCTACACACCGTACTAATGAAATGCAATGCGATCCGCAGCAATCAATGGCTGAAGCATCACTCTTGTAGTTGCAGCATTGCTCAGTGAATAGGGAAGTATAGATGTATATATAGAGGGAGATACAGTATAGAGGTATATAGGGTGCAGTCACGTACCTGTGATGTCTTATGGGCAGACCTCAGTCCATCACCATCTGTTCTCCTGTACGATCTGCGCTCACATTGACCTCCAACTGACAATCCCGGCTCTACCTGCTCATTCCTACCTGCGCTGTAGCCCCGCCCAATCTCTTCCTTATACGGCAGTTCTTCACCTGCCGCATTCCTCCTGCGCTGACACAGTGCAGTCTCTGTGCCGGGATATGGGAATGCTGCCAGACCGGCCCGGCCACATTCCTCCTCCCATCTGATAACACCGGTCACATATCTACTGGACACAATGGAGCGCACGCTGGCCTCTCTATTCACATGAATGGTGCTCACCGTCAGCAGTATGCATGATATTTAATCCAAACCTAACACTAGGCAGAGACATTGTCATACTTCTGATGCTTCATACACTTGTATCTGACCCTTGTTTCCTGGACAGCACCATCCTCATCATGGTCCTTCATACCCCTGCATCTGACCCTTGTTTCCCCGGACAGCACCATCCTCATCATAGTCCTTCATACCCCTGCATCTGCCTTGTTTCCCGGACAGCACCATCCTCATCATGGTCCTTCATACCCCTGCATCTGACCCAGGGGCGGACTGACAACTCATGGGGCCCCTGTGTCCTTGCCCAAACTCAAAAAAGCCTATGAAAAAGGTACCGGGGGCATCTTATGGGGCCCCCTACTGACCCGGGCCCTCGGGAAGTGCCTGAGTTTCCAAATGGTCAGTTTGCCCCTGATCTGACCCTTGTTTCCCGTATTGCACCATCCTCATCATGGTCCTTCATACCCCTGCATCTGACCCTTGTTTAACATACAGAACCATCCTCATCATGGTGCTTCATACCCCTGCATCTGACCCTTGTTTCCCGGACAGCACCATCCTCATCATGGTCCTTTATATCCCCCGCATCTGACCCTTGTTTCCTGTACAGCATCATCCTTATCATGGTGCTTCATACCCCTTCATCTGACCCTTGTTTCCAAGAGAGCATCATCCTCATCATGGTGCTTCATATCTCTGCATCTGACCCTTGTTTCCAGGACAGCATCATCCTCATCATGGTCCTTCATATCCCTGCATCTGACCCTTGTTTCCCAGACAGCATCAACCTCATCATGGTGGTTCATACCCAGGGGCGAACTTACAACTCATGGGGCCCCCGGGCAATAGGGGATCATGGGGCCCTTGTGTCCTTGCCCAAACTCAAAAAAGCCTATGAAAAAGGTACCAGGGGCATCTCATGGGGCCCCTACTGACCCCAGGCCCTCGGGCAGTGCCCAAGTTTCCAAATGGTCAGTCCACCCCTGTTCATACCTCTGCATCTGACCCTTGTTTCCCGGACAGCACCATCCTCATCATGGTCCTTCATACCCCTGCATCTGACCTTTTTTACCCAGGCATCCCTATACTCATCATAGTCCTTCATACACCTGCATCTGACCCTTGTCAGACATGCCTGTCACTAGACTTAGTACCTGTGTTGACAGACTATGGGCTTGTGCCCAAGGCATCAGTTTGACATTAGTCTGAGATGCTTCTGAGATTTATTTTATAGGCATTACAGGCATTTATATACCGCTGCAAGTTTACACAGTGCTTTATTTACTGTGCATTCACATCAGTCCCTGTCCTCAAACAGCTTACAAGCTAATGTCCCTGTTTCACATACCTACATACTAATGACAAAAAAGACAGGAGCCAATTAAAGTGGTTTTAAAGTTACATTTTTCTTTTAAATAATAAACATGTTATTCTTACTTGCTCTGTGCACTGGTATTGCACAGAGCGGTCCCTTACTTCCTTTTCTGGTGTCCCCCTCCAGCACTCTCCACTCCTTCTCCATAGATACACACAGCACAGTTTGGCCCTGTCCACCTCTCTGTGCTCACATGATATGACTGACAGTAGCAGGAGCAAATGGCTTCCGCTTTTGCTTGTTTCTATGATAATGGGGAGAGAGCCGCTGCAGATGGGCACGGGGCTGGATCGAGTGAGGGTTCAAGTAGGTACCAAGGGAGGTTGGGAATGATAGAACTTCTGGAACATTTTTTACCCTAATGCAGGGAATGCATTAAGTTAAAAAATGTTTTGCCTTTAGAACCACTTTAACCTACCATTTAGAATTCATTGACAGGTGCACTTGATTTGCAGTTGATCTCTTTTTGACTTGCTTCAAGCAGGTTTTCCATTCTAAGGGTACATTCACACTTGCATTTTTGCCCAGACAGCCATGCTGGTATGGTACTGCTACAGACAGTTCTACAGACCGTCAACTGGTTTTCATTCACATCAGATGGGTTCTGTGTTACCATACAAGCCTAATAGGCCATGTTCACATCTTCATTTTTTCCCAACAGCATGTAGATGCAAGAAAATTAGTGTGTGTGCGTGTGAGGGTCCTGGCGATTAACTGCGGGAGCTAGCCTCACTGAAAGCAATGGGAGGCTGGCTGCTCCTGCAGCTAATTGCAATCACTTGCATGTAATCGCTATGTGGCGATTACCTGCGACTGATTTGCCCTGGATGCAGACAGTCTTCATTTAGCTATGGGAGCCAGCAACTTCCCATAGCTTTCAATGAGGCTGTTTCACTCAGTTAATCTTTGGGGCCTCCCATTGATTTTCTCACCTCTACATGCTGTGGGCCAAAACAAAGGTGTGAATGTGGCTTAATAGGCTTGTATAGTAATGCTGAACCCATATAATGTGAACAAAAGACCTGCTGACAGTCTGTAGAAATGTCTGTAGCAGTGCCATTCCAGTTAGCTCCAGCCTGGACACCTGGAAGCGCCTGAAAGCTGTGAAACTCTGCAGTGTGTACCTTCCTGGTTTAAACATGAATATTGAGAAATGTTGGCTTATATAACGTTTCCACTATGCTGGGGCATGACTGTGAACTGACTATTCCACAAATCAGAATTTGCATACCAATGGGCCCCTGCAGTTCTGTACTGTAAAGGCACTGCAGAATTTAGAGTTATCCTCTTAGCATTGGTAAGGGTAGTTTTGTAGCTCACAGCTAGTGACAGTGTGTACTTTAAATGTCTCTTCTTCAGAGGTTTTATGAACATCTCAATTAGAGAATCATCAACTAATGCAACATGAACCAGGGACGGCCAGGGTTTTACATACCTCTGTATGCGTCATGCTTTTAAACATTACTCACACAATCCAGCAATTGTCATAGCCCCAATATAAAGGACTGAGTTTGCTGTTCTCTAACCTCTATATCACCCATATGATGCTGCGCTTCATTGACTAAGAAACTCTTTGTGGAATTTATCCAACTGCAAAGTCACATTCCAGCGACATGAATAATGGTACAGGATGTGACCTAGGTATTTGTACACATAGGGATGGCACCTATCCAGTCCTGTGCAGCAGGAACAGAAGCACTGACAAAATCATCTATACCTAAAGACAGATTCGTATAAAATAAAACATGTATAACATTAGTAACATACACTGGATATCAATAATGGAAATAAGAATACCAGATAAATACTAAACAGTGCTGTAAATCTTTTAAACTTCAAGGATGGCTAAGTACACATTGACAAAGGGGAATTATTATTATTATTATTATTATTCAGGATTTAAATAGTGCCAACAGTTTGAAAAATGTGTGTGAAAAATTGGAACATTACTAGCAATGACTGCCCATTTAGGCGTTCATTTCAGATTAGTAACAAGACCTGAAAGAATCCGCTAATACACACAGAATTTTCCTGATTGTTTCAAAATTGGCAATCAACTGTTAATTGTTCTCTTTCCTCTACCAAAAATGGGACAATCCACACTATAGCTTGAAAGCTCTGGTAACTAACACCAGACAGAAATGCAAAATATGTCCCTGATACTTCTCCCAACTGCTGAGGGGAATATGGCTCTCCTGAATCCATGCTACATATTTGGTGGACGTATCCCAGGGTGTGCAAATTGTGGATTTAAGTTTAAAATTTCCCTAGAAACCTTCTTCACTGCAAACTCCCATAACAGGAACCTGGCACAGTAGTCAAACAAAAATAAAGCATTGCTCCCAAAGGTCCCTAACCCTAAACTATCCATAACTATAAGGTAAAACCTACAAAAAAATGTAACAAAATGTTAACTTTTCATGCCTCATCTGTCAGATGAAGCTTTGCCTCTAAACTCTAAGCAAAGGTTTTTTTGATAGAGTGGTGAGTGGAAAGACTCCCTGTCCAGTTTGTATTGCAACCTATGTCACACTTGAATAAGACTTAACCTTTTTATCCCAAAGGAACGCATTAAATAATTTTCTAGTCTCAGAGAACCCCTGCAAAAATTAACTAATCAGAGATCAGTAAGGAAAATGCCCCCCTTACAGTGGTGATCAGTAGAAAGCACACACCCCTTACAGTGGTGCTCAGAATGCCTCCCTTTCTGTAGTGGTCAGCAGGAAGAGTGCTCCCTTACATTGGTGGTCAATAGAAAAATACCCTCTTTACAGTGGTCATCAGAATACCATCCTTACAGATCCTTGGTGTCCTGCTGCCAGAGGCATTGGGCAAGGAACTATGAAGAAACCATCAGATAGGAGGTCAATTAGCCACAGCTCAAGCAACCCCTGGCAATCTCTGGAGGAACCCTATGGTTCCATGGAACCTTGGTTGAGAATGACTGCCATAGATGATACAGTTTTTTTTTTTTTGTTCAACCAGGGCATTGAACTAAAAAAACTGAGCTGACTCCTCCATAGACTTGATATGGATAAGGGCATCCTCCCCACTGAGCTATTGTATTCTGACAGTGGGGAGACTTCCCTTCTGCCAGAATACACAGATCAGTGTTGTAGGTTGTAGCGCACAGCTGATCGAGCGAGGAAAATCCGACAGAGCAGTTGTACAGAAGTCGATTGGTTTTATCAACTTTTGTACAACCTGCTGAACCAGCTGAATCTCAATCCATGTATGGCCAGTTTTATTCTCTCTGTCTATCCTGAAAACAGCTGACACAGGGTCTGAAACCGAAGGAAAAACTAAAATGTTTGAGGTGTCCCCAGAACAGAAAATGAAGGGGAACTATTCTAATGCGGATGCTTGTTTTGGTGTCAACTATGTAAAAGAGATTTCTCATTATTTCTTATTATGCATACAAGACAGGAAGGGAAGAGAAATCTCTTGAACTGAATGCAAATAACTAAAAAAACCTGAAGGGGGTTTAACCATTTCCTACTCCATCCAGTGTAGAAAAATCACATTGGCTTTGATACACTTTAAACTTTATACTTATACCCAGTGGGCTGAACAAAAAAAAACTGAAGAGTTCGGGAGGAGCTTGCTGTACTAGCTATCCAATGTTAATAAGCAATCTCCCTGCTGATCTATTGTGTTTTGACAGGGACTGAAACGCCAAGCCACCCCCTACCACCGGAACACACTAGTTAGCGCTCTCAGCTATTGGTGGCCAGCACTGATCGGATGCTGGTATTCCAGCATGCCCATTCGATAACCGTACTTCTGTCAGAAAGACGGGTGTACACCCGGGCCGAATGTTGGCTGGTTTCTGCCAAACCGGTCAATATTCAGTTCGTGTGTATGGAGCTTAACACTAACCTAACCCGGAGCTGTCACCACCAAAAGATTGCAGTTCCATGGACCAGCCACAGGGCCAATATCTCCTCTGAAAAGTCATGACACATAGGGTTATGTGAGAAATCCTCAATCATAGGAGTCATGAAGGAAAGTGACCCTATCTAAATAGGATATCTATGCAAGATGGGAATAGTGGCAGAAAGCATGTAATCAGTCAGGTCTGGTTTTATGTTTGATAATGGGCTGTACACTAACCTTTCAAGTATAGCAGAGAGGTAGACCTCCAGCCTATTAGCGGATGATAGGACACAAGTTACCATTGCCTGGTGGAGACGGGCGTCGAAAGAAACTTCTGTCTATGGCAGACATGTTACAGAACATATACAGTGTATATAGAATCTATTCAAAGAGACTGCCATCAGACAGACATGTTTGTCCACATCTGATGTTCCAAGTGTCTGATAAATCCCAGACATGGATGAAACTTCCCTCAGGTTACAGAGCTGGGTGGAGATACCCAATACAGTACAGTTACATTAGAATCTGGTGGATTTTCTAAGCAAGTTATGTTGGCTTCCTTTACATGATACAAACATTTCATACATAATTGCAATAATTTGCCAAATATGTCAAATATGATTTTTTTTTTCAACAAAAACAAGTGTCAGATATCTCTTTCAGATCTTTTTGTTGTGTTATTTTTATTTCTTTACCTAAAATAGAAAAAAATCCTGTTTCCTCTCCATAGAAGACCA